CATTCAGAGCATGAGTAGTTGAGGGCAAGGAGAGATCAATCTATCTCTAATGGATCTAAAAGGGAACTGCCACTAATTTATCTTAAATTATGATTCTAAGCCCTATTTTTTGTTACAATCCCGTTGTCTGGGGTTTCAAATTCCAGCTATGTATTTATTTTTGCACTTATATGAAAGCTAAGTAAAATTTGTTTGGCTGATGGCTCAAAAGCTGTAACACAATGGTTGGCTTTTAAACAGACCAAAAATCACTTTGCTAGGTCGAGACGGAGAAAAACGAATACAATTAAGGTAACTGACGTCAGCCAGTCGTCAAAAGGGTCTTTTTCTACCCTCCGTCGCTGTGCAACTTCTGGTCGAATGTCAAATAGAAATTTTTATATGAGACATTATTGAAGCCTTGTACGACAGAAGATACTGAAGAAACCGAATACTCTCAAGTCAGTGTACCGAATATAACTCAAGGCGTTTCAACTTGAATGGTTTTATAAATAAACGTTATTTATGTTTCACAGCATCGACACTTTGTTAATATAACAGTTATTGACCCGCTAGCCACTAATAAAATCGATAAAATTCGGTTTGTGAACACGGTTTGGCGGCATACGAGAAGGAACGTCGCAGAACTGTGTCACAGATAAAGGGATCTAAAAAATTATGGTTATGATCTTTGAATGTAACGGTCGTCCACTTAGGTCACAAATGAAATTAAGAGAAATAGGCCCTAACATCATTGGCTCAAGGGTCAGGGACACTACCCTCTTGAGTTTTCGACCTCATTCTGTCGGAGCCAATTCGGTTCGCTTAAGACATTGAACAGCAAGATCGTGCTACAGCGCTTAAATGCTACTACGAAAATACCGCCCCACTCTAGAAATAAGCACATCCCAATAGCTCGGTCTCTAGATACCTAAAACACGCCAACGCCGTTAGGAACAGAGTTGGAAACTCAAGCAAAGACTATTAGTTTTTATTGGACAGTTGACCTCTGATCCATTTAAGATAGATCAGCCTAAAACTCGCCTTATCTCAACATAACGGTGTAAAATACACTCAAGGAGTTATTTTCATAATTCACATATTGACAACGACTCTAGAATCAAGTAAATGAGATAAGTAATTGAACATTTAGTCCACAGTGTTTCTGTTTTTTCAATTAATTACGTACATGTCTAAATCAAAATTATGACTCAGAATTTTCCAGACAATTAGATAAAAAAAACCTTTTGATTAGTTTTAGAGGTTAAAAGTATTTCAATCTAAATAGTTTCTTTGGAGGTCAACTTTGACTGGCTCATTTTTCTAACATGATGTTTTAGAAGCAAAATTTACGTGAAATATTGGAAAGAACATGTGTAAATTGATGTTTTATTGTGATTTAGATTAGTTTAGTGTGAGAAAACTAACGATGCACATAATTGCGAAAATGCTTGAATTTTAGTTTTTATCAAAAATCTCTTCAATTTTATTTGTAAGCAAAAGAGCGAAGAGCTTAAAACTCCAACTGTTTTCCGATTAAGGGGCCAGTATCCAAAACTTTAATGTTTTTTATCAATTCACAGGGAATTTTCAAAGCATTTTTTATTGATACGTAGAATATGGCCAATTGTTATCTGAGTTACCGAAATGTTTCTATTGTAGCAGCTAGCTCCCTTTGATACAGCATCAACACCCTCAACAGAAGTGCAAAAAAATACGAGAGTCTTGTTACAGCAATTCCTGGTCTCTCCCTCAATAACAACTCGCTGAACCAAGGAAAGAACCTTCCACGATTACTGGAAGACAGTTCATTGAAGGAGAAAAAAATGGCTGTGAGGCACGACTTGGTGAACAACACCATTTAGAGCCACAGAACAAACAACTATTGCCCTACCTGTTTTGAGGAGAGCTGACAAACTATTTGAAGTTGAAAAAGCAGAAGATATTGGCAATCGTCTATTGCAGAAGGGAAGGAACGCTCGACTTGTTTACTCAGCTACTCGGCACTGAAAAGCTCATTAATCCTCCAAGAAAACGGCTACCCTCCAAGAGCAAACAGAACTATCCAGAGCAGCTCAGTGAAGTTTTTGAAGCTGCTCCAGAGTGCTGAATAGGAGCTGAATTTTCTGCGATTGGTAGTCGCACACAGAAAAAGACTGACAGAACTGATTGGCAATATCAAGGGCAAACAACAGAGAACATCGCAGACAAGGAGGAAGCAGAAGCTGACGGAACAGGAAGAGTCTGCGCTTCAAAGACAGTGGTGAAGAGAGTGTGATTTGTTTTGCTTTGTGCCTTGTGAGTTTTTTTCTCGTGGCCTGCAAAACAATGAACACAGTAGATTGCTTACTGTTTGGTTCAGACAATTTAAAAAATAGGAAAATAATTTGTAAAATTGTGTTAGACTAATAAAAATTCTATAGAAAACTTCAATTATCTGTACATAGACTGAATTTTTTGAGAAAGTGTCTGAAAACTGATATAATATTGGACTTTTTGAAGTATAGAGTCCCCGAGAACGTTTTTTGGACCAAGCTGTCAACTAAAACTACTTAGGATTGGATCTTGTAGGGCAAATGAGGACAGGAAAATGTATGAGGAGCTGGTATTGAAAGCCCGATTGCTGGTGCAAAAAGAAATCGACGAACAAATGTGGGCATCCATTTTCCGTTTGGTGTGGCGTCAATTTGATGCAAGCTGCTTAAGGACGAAAATTAGAAAAAATGTCCGAGAGACATGATAAAATTCTTGGGGCGTCAAATGAGCAATCATTTAAGGTGCTTGAGACCTTTGAACTGCCTGGATTGTTACATGAATTGCTGCCAATGGGTCCGAAGCATCCAATTAGAGAAAAATTTACCAAAAACCTATTTTGACTGATGGCGACATTTTCATCTCACAATTGAAAACCTCAAAACATCTGGTGAAACTTTGTGTAAAACAGAAGCCGCGGCAAAGGCATATGCAAAAAAGTTAGGCAAACCCCATGAGACAAAGCCGTTGAAAAAACGAGGACATATCATCGGTTGCTGGTTGTGCCTGTTGATAAGGGGGTTGGATTTTGCATTTTGAGGAAACACACGTATGAAGCAAAACTGGAATCTTTGTTGCAATCTGCTCAGTTTTTGAAAATGAAGCAACCGCTGATGAGATGATACTGAAAAGTGAGGAAAAAGTTAACCAAGAATTACTTGCTTTGAACAAAAGAGATGACATAATTGATCATTTTTATCCTAAGATGAGGTCAACAGAGGGGTAATCCGCGCATTTGTACGGTTCAGGTAAGGTACACAAGGCTGAGACACCCCTTCGACCAGTACTATCACTTCCGGGCAGCTCATATGAGAACCTAACAAAACGCTTGCACAGTTTTTGAGAACATCAATGGAGCCAATATAGAAACCAATATAAAAGATGCCAGAGAAACAAATGAAAACGTTGCCAAAGATCCGAATGAAACCATAATATCTCCTTAAGTGAAAAATTTTTACACTAATACTCCCCTGAAAGAAGCAATTGAAATTGCCTTACAGAAGCTGTACAGCCACGATTCTTCTCCTGAAATTCAAAGAGCAACCATAAAAAGGCTTTTGAATATGTTGTTGAGCAAAGTATCTTTCAAGTGTAATGATTCCTGTCATACGCCAGTTGATGGTCTAGCAAGGGGCGCTTCCTTCGCTTGCACACCTATGGCTGAAAGATTACGAGTTTGCTCTAAAACAAGAAATATCATCGCAAACTGATCAATAACTCAGATAGCGAGGTATTGTGAAAGCTGCTGCAGCGCCAAAAACAAAGAGAAGTATAATGCACAAATGAAATTGATCCTCAGGTATAAATATGACGTTATTAGAACAGTTAATGATGATCTGATTTGTGTTCTCGATGCCGCGAATTCTCTGCATCCAAATCTGCAGTTCACTCTACAGGAAATTAGTTCGGAGGGGATTTGACGTTCCTGGATTTGAATTTAAATGTTTTGCAGGATGGGGGGTAACCTGCAATTGGTACGAAAACCTACAGATGATAAGACTATACTTAACTTTTGAGGCTGCGCCCCAACTCAGTATACGCGTAGTGTTATCTAAGGCACTGTACATAGAGTTTCAGAAGTACATCTAACTGGGAGCATTTTGATAAGTCTATTGAAACTAATAGGGTGAAATGGCTGACAAATCAGTACCCTGAAAGTTCGTCCGCATAGATGGCACCCTGTGCAAAATCATCGAGGGTAATGGAAAGCCCCTGGATGGTGAGAGGAGTTCTTCAGCTTAATCTCCAAAGGAAGTGAAGCCCCCAATGCTGATGGTGCAATATAGAGGTAACCAAAGCCAATATTTTGCAAGCAGATTACGAAGTTTAATCAACATTCGAGTGGTTTTCATCATAAGAAAATTAAAATCTTGTTTACCATCGCTGAAGTCGGCTTTTCAATGACCTCAAGTCAAGAATGGTTTATAAACTGTCATGTAGTGGGTACACTTCCACGTTTTGATGTTCCACAATTGACTTCTAGAATTAAGGAACATAAGAAAGCAAACTCACTGGTAGGCCTCCACCTTCAGCAATACAGCCTTCAGGGAAAAAGTGAAGCTATTAATTGGTAAATTACATACAGGTCGAAAAAATTGTTAAACTTAGAGGCAATACATATCAGGAAAGAGAAACCAGGTTTGAACACGCGCAATGAGTTTAGGAGCTGGAAGTTACCACTCAAAAAATAGTCCCAAAAATTTTTTGGTTTTTTTTTTAAAAACGTTCACGCCCAAATCAAAATTATTACTCCAAAACTTCCAGAGAAAAAAAAAAGTTTTTAAATTAGTTTTAGAGGTCAAAAAGATTTTAATCTAATCAGAAACTTTGGAGTTCAACTTTGATCGGCAAAATTTTTGACAAGATGGCTGCGCTTGAAGGTTTTCACGTTTGAAAAAATTCTCCAGATTTGCGAAACTCCTCAGTTGTTTGCGTACAAATTACTGCTATTGCCATGTAGTTTTTTGGACAGAACGATCGAGCCTAGAAAACTTATTAAGTAAGGTAATTAATGAAAATATTAAACATGAACGAAGAACGCATCTTTTTTCTGTTTACCTAATATCTTAAGCCGCCTTTTTAGCCACAGCAATAGAAGCAAAAACTACTTTCAGCAAAACTTTTAGTTTGGAGCATGAGGATGAAGCATACAATAATGATACCTTGATGCTGTAATTTTTTCACACAAGTGTGAATTAGCTACGGAAAATCAAGTCCAAAAAATTCGTTAGAGCAAAGTTTTTATATCGAATTTTCTTAAATGACACTAAAATTGAAACCATTTGATGTGAAAAAAGATCAGTGCCTGCTGGAAAAAGTTTCGCAAAGGTTGAATTTCATACACTGGAAGAATTCAAGTTTAAAACTGGCCAAAAAGCAAGTTAGAATTGCTGTCAAACTCAGCCTAACTTCAAAATTATCAGAAAATTAGATGCATCTGTGCAATAAGGGGCGCGGCCTGTCTTGTCAGAAAAGTTCGGGGAGATATGTGCCATTCCCCGGATGGTAAACTGGAACCTTCCGTTGCACTAGCAATACGACCTTAAAGGCCTTATTAACGAATTGGATACGGACAGAAAGATTGAATTATTCCGGAAATTGTTTTTTTTTTCAATTTTCGATTAAATCCAGATAGCCAAAATTTTTGCAACAAAAAGAACGTGTCATACACATAACAAAAATGGCCGAAAAACGCACAAAAATTGGTCGTGTGAAGAGAGACGAAAAATAAAACCTTGTTTTATCTGAAACTAAAACAAGAAATACTATTGAAGCCTCCGGTCGCGACACGCAGACGCAATAAGCAGCTTAACCGCGAGATGAAAAGGACCGAAAGATTAGGTGGAATACTCGCGACATATCAAAACCCTCCCAAACAGAGGAAACTAAGAAATAACGACGTTACTTCTGGGAGAAGTCGGAATTGGAGGCCTAAAAACTGTTTTACAAACAATCACATTCTTGTAATGCCCTGAATGAAATTAATTTAACTCAAAATTGATTGATTCATTCAGAGCATGAGTAGTTGAGGGCACGGAGAGATCAATCTATCTCTAATGGATCTAAAAGGGAACTGCCACTAATTTATCTAAAATTATGATTCTAAGCCCTATTTTTTGTTATAATCCCGTTGTCTGGGGTTTCAAATTCCAGCTATGTATTTATTTTTGCACTTATATGAAAGCTAAGTAAAACTTGTTTGGCTGATGGCTCAAAAGCTGTAACACAATGGTTGGTTTTTAAACAGACCAAATTTTTTTTTAAATTTTCGATTGAATCCAGATAGCCAAAATTTTTGCAACAAAAACAACATGTCATACACATAACAAAAATAGCCAAAAAACGCACAAAAATTGGTCGTGTGAAGAGAGGCGAAAAACAAAACATTGTTTTATCTGAAACTGAAACAAGAAATACTATTGAAGCCTCCGGTCGCGACACGCAGACGCAATAAGCAGCTTAATCGCGAGATGAAAAGGACCGAAAGATTAGGTGGAATACTCGCGACATATCAAAACCCTCCCAAACAGAGGAAACTAAGAATTAACGACGTTACTTCTGGGAGAAGTCGGAATTGGAGGCCTAAAACTGTTTTACAAACAATCACATTCTTGTAATGCCCTGAATGAAATTAATTTAACTCAATATTGATTGATTCATTCAGAGCATGAGTAGTTGAGGGCAAGGAGAGATCAATCTATCTCTAATGGATCTAAAAGGGAACTGCCACTAATTTATCTAAAATTATGATTCTAAGCCGTATTTTTTGTTATAATCCCGTTGTCTGGGATTTCAAATTCCAGCTATGTATTTATTTTTGCACTTATATGAAAGCTAAGTAAAATTTGTTTGGCTGATGGCTCAAAAGCTGTAACACAATGGTTGGCTTTTAAACAGACCAAAATTTTTTTTAAATTTTCGATTAAATCCAGATAGCCAAAATTTTTGCAACAAAAACAACATGTCATACACATAACAAAAATAGCCAAAAAACGCACAAAAATTAGTCGTGTGAAGAAAGACGAAAAATAAAACCTTGTTTTATCTGAAACTAAAACAAGAAATACTATTGAAGCCTCCGGTCGCGACACGCACACGCAATACGCAGCTTAATTGCGAGATGAAAAGGACCGAAAGATTAGGTGGAATACTCGCGACATATCAAAACCCTCCCAAACAGACAAACAGAGGAAACTAAGAAATAACGACGTTACTTCTGGGAGAAGTCGGAATTGGAGGCCTAAAAACTGTTTTACAAACAATCACATTCTTGTAATGCCCTGAATGAAATTAATTTAACTCAATATTGATTGATTCATTCAGAGCATGAGTAGTTGAGGGCAAGGAGAGATCAATCTATCTCTAATGGATCTAATAGGGAACTGCCACTAATTTATCTAAAATTATGATTCTAAGCCCTATTTTTTGTTATAATCCCGTTGTCTGGGGTTTCAAATTCCAGCTATGTATTTATTTTTGCACTTATATGAAAGCTAAGTAAAATTTGTTTGGCTGATGGCTCAAAAGCTGTAACACAATGGTTGGCTTTTAAACAGACCAAAAATCACTTTGCTAGGTCGAGACGGAGAAAAACGAATACAATTAAGGTAACTGACGTCAGCCAGTCGTCAAAAGGGTCTTTTTCTACCCTCCGTCGCTGTGCAACTTCTGGTCGAATGTCAAATAGAAATTTTTATATGAGACATTATTGAAGCCTTGTACGACAGAAGATACTGAAGAAACCGAATACTCTCAAGTCAGTGTACCGAATATAACTCAAGGCGTTTCAACTTGAATGGTTTTATAAATAAACGTTTCGTGTCTATATTTATTTATGTTTCACAGCATCGACACTTTGTTAATATAACAGTTATTGACCCGCTAGCCACTAATAAAATCGATAAAATTCGGTTTGTGAACACGGTTTGGCGGCGTACGAGAAGGAACGTCGCAGAACTGTGTCAAAGATAAAGGGATCTAAAAAATTATGGGACACTACCCTCTTGAGTTTTCGACCTCATTCTGTCGGAGCCAATTCGAATCGCTTAAGACATTGGACAGCAAGATCGTGCTACAGCGCTTAAATGCTACTACGATAATACCGCGGCAAAGGCATATGCAAAAAAAGTTAGGCAAACCCCAAGAGACAAAGCCGTTGAAAAAACGAGGACATATCATCGGTTGCTGGTTGTGCCTGTTGATAAGGGGGTTGCATTTTGCATTTTGAGGAAACAAACGTATGAAGCAAAACTGGAATCTTTGTTGCAATCTGCTCAGTTTTTGAAAAATGAAGCAACCACTGATGAGATGATACTGAAAATTGAGGAAAAAGTTAACCAAGAATTACTTGCTTTGAACAAAAGAGATGACATAATTGATCATTTTTATCCTAAGATGAGGTCAACAGAGGGGTAATCCGCGCATTTGTACGGTTCAGGTAAGGTACACAAGGCTGAGACACCCCTTCGACCAGTACTATCACTTCCGGGCAGCTCATATGAGAACCTAACAAAACGCTTGCACAGTTTTTGAGAACATCAATGGAGCCAATATAGAAACCAATATAAAAGATGCCAGAGAAACAAATGAAAACGTTGCCAAAGATCCGAATGAAACCATAATATCTCCTTAAGTGAAAAATTTTTACACTAATACTCCCCTGAAAGAAGCAATTGAAATTGCCTTACAGAAGCTGTACAGCCACGATTCTTCTCCTGAAATTCAAAGAGCAACCATAAAAAGGCTTTTGAATATGTTGTTGAGCAAAGTATCTTTCAAGTGTAATGATTCCTGTCATACGCCAGTTGATGGTCTAGCAAGGGGAGCTTCCTTCGCTTGCACACCTATGGCTGAAAGATTACGAGTTTGCTCTAAAACAAGAAATATCATCGCAAACTGATATACAGCCAATGATTGACAAAAACGGTTTCTGCCCTTTTTGCAGCATGAAGGTAACATATATATCAAAGGGGGTTGAATGTGAGAGTTGCGCAAACTGGTATCACGTGAAATGCGGAAAGTTGTCCGATGATGTATACGCATCAATAACTCAGATAGCGAGGTATTGTGAAAGCTGCTGCCGCGCTAAAAACAAAGAGAAGTATACTACACAAGTGAAATTGTTCCTCAGGTATAAATATGACGTTATTAGAACAGTTAAAGATGATCTGATTTGTGTTCTCGATGCCGCGAATTCTCTGCATCCAAATCTGCAGTTCACTCTACAGGAAATTGGTTCAGAGGGGATTTGACGTTCCTGGATTTGAATTTAAATGTTTTGCAGGATGGGGGGTAACCTGCAATTGGTACGAAAACCTACAGATGATAAGACTATACTTAACTTTTGAGGCTGCGCCCTAACTCAGTACACGCGTAGTGTTATCTAAGGCACTGTACATAGAGTTTCAGAAGTACATCTAACTGGGAGCATTTTGATAAGTCTATTGAAACTAATAGGGTGAAATGGCTGACAAATCAGTACCCTGAAAGTTCGTCCGCATAGATGGCACCCTGTGCAAAATCATCGAGGGTAATGGAAAGCCCCTGGATGGGGAGAGGAGTTCTTCAGCTTAATCTCCAAAGGAAGTGAAGCCCCCAATGCTGATGGTGCAATATAGAGGTAACCAAAGCCAATATTTTGCGAGCAGATTACGAAGTTTAATCAACATTCGAGTGGTTTTCATCATAAGAAAATTAAAATCTTGTTTACCATCGCTGAAGTCGGCTTTTCAATGACCTCAAGTCAAGAATGGTTTATAAACTGTCATGTAGTGGGTGCACTTCCTCGTTTTGATGTTCCACAATTGACAATTTAATCTAATCAGAAACTTTGGAGTTCAAATTTGATCGGCTAAATTTTTTAACATGATGGCTTAGAATCAAAATTTAAAAAACTTGCTGTAAATAACATTTTTGAATTGATGTTTTATCGTCATTTAGATTAGTTTATTGTCAAAATCCTGACGATGCCTATAGTTGTGAAATCCTTTGAAATATAGT